ATCTGTTTACTCCAACACAGATAAAAAATTCTCATTTTGTAAAAATCTTCCGCTTTTAAATTTGGTTGTCTTTTTCCCTTGGGTCTTTTAGCAACTTCCCCATGAATCTTTTTATTGTAAGACTCTGTTAGGACGTCTGTGTTCCATCATCCTCTACCTGCCCTCGTGTTAACTTGTCCAGGATAGAAGATATTGAAATTGATCAGTGTTCCATCATCCTCTACCTCCCTTCGTGTTAACTTGTCCAGGATAGAAGATATTGAAATTGATCAAAGGAGTCTCAGTATTTGTGTGTTTTCTACATTACAGGACTTTCAATTGACGAGTATTCTAGGAAGAAGTTGGACTTGACCGCTAAAGAGCTCAGTGAGGAGAAAGATCTGGCATACTCGTGTCTCTCGTAAATTTCCCGTCTCGTGGTAAAAAAAAAAAAGACTTCTTTCATTTGTGGCGATTAAAGTAGCTAATGTTTTGAATAATTCCATTGTCGATCTTGTTGATCGATAAACAATGGAAATGCTGCTTTTTATCGATCTCACTTCCTATTTACTTGCTTTTTGTCTGTCTGCCTTGGTGGTATAAATGTACGACTGTCCTAGAGCAATTTCCCAGTTCTCTTGCCACTTTATCAAACTTCTTGATTTTGAACCCGCTGTTTCTTCTTTGAACATATAACATTTATTTCCAGGAAGTGATATGCACGGGAGAATCGTCTTAATATAAAAAACATACGTACAAAGTAGGCTTCGCTTCATTGTTGATCTATAAAGGTTATATGTGCTCATATCATAAAAGTAACAAATTTGAAAGAATAATACTCTGTTAAAAAACTCGTTTTCTAGTTGGACTTTTGATTGTTCATAATGACAACACTAATTTGGTGTAAAAATCCACTCCAATCGCACACCACTATTTTGGTGTGATTCGAGTTTTTTTATAATTTTTGTTTTGCTCTTCATTTTATACTACAAATTTTAATATCATTTTTATATCCTTTTAGCTCATGTTTGATTATCTTTATTTTACTTTAATTTATTTCTCATAATTATTTTCAATCGTATTTACATAATAAAATATTTTACATATGCTCAAAAATTCTCTGAAAAATACTATTCAAAATTATATTTCTAAATTGTAAAATCGCCAAACATGGGCTTATTATATGATGATTTTACTTTATTTATATTCATTTAAATTTAATTTGAATTCCATTTATTGTGCATAATGCATTTTGAAATAGTTGATTGATGAATAATGTGTTGTTAAAAGTAAAGGAAAAGTTTTTGGGTTGCGTGGAATGTTATTTTATTAAAGAATGCGTGGTTGAAAAGAAGATAGGGAAAAATGTATTTTGAAAAAAAAAAAAAGGGATCAATGTCATCTTAAAAAGTAAAACCTTTCCAGATCATTAGGCAATAAATACGCGTAATGTTAATTAGGTTAAGGGTGTGTTTGAGCTATATTATTTTAGAAAAATGTATTTTGAAATAGTAGATTGATAGATAATATATGGTTGAAAAAAAAAAAGTTATTGATGTGATGAAAAATATTATTTTATTAAAGAATGTGTGGCTGAAAATAAATAGAAGAATGAAAAAGAAAATTTTAATGTGGCTTAAACGGGGACTAGAGTGGGGATATAGTTGACAAGTCAAAACATCACATCCCGTTGCCACTATTACCAAAGTCACATTTGGCAAAGACCATTACATACTTTCAATCTAATCCCCTTGCACTCAAATTTATTTTCAATCGCATACAACAACATGCTTGTATTCAACAAATCCTTTCCTGCATTTGGTTGCGACACATTGTCACAATCTCCTTCAATTTTGAAATCTTTAATTACTGGTACATAGCAACACATTTCGATGCCCAATTCTCCAATTGAATATGGTTCATGAGGAGCAACTGGTTCACGAATTGCTTCACTTCAAAATCACCACAACTGACAGAACCCTTTTGCATATGGACGGGTCATCCGGGTATTTGCCACTATTTCGTCGCTAAAAAACTCGGTTCTCTAGTTGGGCTTTTGGTTGTTCATAATGACCACTAATTTGGCGTAAAAATTCACTCCAATCCAATCGCACGCCACCATTTTGCCGTTATACTACAACAAATTTTAATATCTATTATATCATTTTTATATCCTTTTAGCTCCTGTTTGATTCTCTTTATCTTAATTTATTTTTCATACTTATTTTGAGTTAAAGTTGCGACAATAAAATATTTTATATGTAGATTCAAAAAAAATTTCTTAGTTTTTAACAACACATTTTCCAAAAAATGCTATTCAAAATTATGTTTCTAAAATTTTAAAACCACCAAACAGGGGCTTATTATTTGATGATTTTACTTTATTTATATTCATTTTAATTTAATTTGAGCCTCATTTTTTGTGTTAAGGTGTGTTTGATGTATATTATTGAGAAAATAATGTATTTTAAATAGTAATATGATGAGAAATATATGGTTAAAAAATAAGGAAAAATTATTGATGTGATAGAAAATATTATTTTATTGAAAAATCTGTGGTTGAAAATGAGTTTTGAAATAGTAGATTGATGGATAATGTGTTGTTAAAAGTAAAGGAAACATGTATTTTGAAAAAAAATAAAAAAATTGGGGTCAAACAATGTCATCTTAAAAAGTAAAACCTTTCCAGATCATTAGGCAATAAATGCGTAATGTTAATTAGTTTAAATCACATTTACATACTTTCAATCTAATCCCTTTTTCAATCGCATACATCGATATACTTGTATTCAACAAATCCTTTCCTGCATTTGTTTGCGACACATTGTCACAATCTCCTTCAATTACAGAGCAACACATTTCGGTGCCCAATTGAATATGGTTCATGAGGAGCAACTGTTTCACGAATTGCTTCACTTCAAATTGTGTTGACTGTCTTGGGAAAACGTAATTTACAAAATTGTGACCATCTTCAACATATGTAACATCAACATAAAGTGAAAATGACGTATGATCAATTTCACTTCTCTTTACAAATTTGAATTGTGGAAGCTAATGTTCAACCCAAAATTGAATTTTGAACTCCACTTCTGTTGCTTTAAGTAATTGTTGAAAATTAGTTACATTAATTCTATACCATCGAAGACAATAAAACGTATAAAGAAAATAGACATACAAGAATATGTAAAATTTATAGAGGTTTGATTTAATGTGAGACTACGTTCTCTTCCACCATTTCAATAAGTCGCTATGATAAAAAAATAATAATAAAAAATAAAAAAGAGCAAATGACAGAAAAAACGCACATCTTATTATTATTTTTTATTTTTTAACCCCTCTCTTTTTGATAATTTAATGATGATATCACATCGACGTAAGATACTCTGTAACATAATAAAATAGAAGATAATGAACATAGATAGATTTAGAGTCTTATGAACGAATGTGAACACCATGCACAAGAAATATCTAAAGCTTAAAGGAAGCAATTGACATGAAATTCCCTAAACCAATAAGAAATTAGAATACTAATGAATAAAATTACAAAGACTTGTAAAATTAAGAGATGACTTAAAAAGTTAATTAAAGAACAAATGGAAGTGATTCCCAAAAAGTTGTCTTAATTACTTTCTTGAATTTGACTAAGCATTGTGGTAATTATTTAGAACTTAATGCAAGGACTAAATTGAAAGAATTATGATATTATTGATTAGGGTAGATTAAAAACAGTTCTTGTTGATTGATGATGTGAAATGCATTTTTTTTTTCCAACTTCGACTTTTATGAGCTATAAAGTAGATACTTTAATATTCCAATGTATATTTATTCATCAATTCATCTAAAATAAACTAGGAAATATGTGTGTGTGTGAATTTTTCATCAATAAGTGACTATTCAAGTTTATATATTTATTGCTTTAATATTTTATTGACTAACGACTTTTTCAAATAAAGAAGTGTTGAGTTATTCATTCAGTTAAACGTGGTACCTAAGACATCCATACGTTAGTTCATCAACCACCATGTAAGAAAAAAAAAAGTTTAGAATAATATTGCTACATAGCACCATTAGTATATAACGTGAAACTATTGTAACATTAAATGATAACTTCAATATGAGTCCTATTTAATTGAACATATCGTTTAGTTCTTGTTTGAAATTATTTATTTTACTTTAATTTATTTCTTATACTTATTTTAAAGAAAAATAATATTCATTCCCAATGGGGATGTATCCCCAGTCTATGTGGATGTAAATGATTGGTTAAATGATAGGTGAAATTAAATGACTTATTTAATTTCACCTATCATTTAATGCCACATTAACGCCACATAGACTGGAGATGCATCCCCAATGGGGATGAATAGCATTTCTCTATTTTAAATCACANGTTCATCAACCACCATGTAAGAAAAAAAAAGTTTAGAATAATATTGCTACATAGCACCATTAGTATATAACGTGAAACTATTGTAACAGTAAATGATAACTTCAATATTAGTCTTACTTAATTGAACATATCATTTAGCCTCTGTTTGACATCATTTATTTTACTTTAATTTATTTCTTATACTTATTTTAAATCACACATTTATACAATAAATATTCTACACTTAGGGTTCGTTTGATTGCAAATGTGAAATTTGGACGGAAAGAAAATGAATTACAAGGATTTCAACAAAGAGCAATCAAGAAAAATATTAAACTCCACTAACAAACATGGCTTAGAAGGAAAATAGCTAGGATTTCTTCTGTACCTAGTCCCTACTTTAATCCTTCAAATCTAAGTGTGTACAAACCAAATTTCTAGATCAAATCCCCTTTCTTTCCTAAAGTATTCATGTCAACTTCCACTTGTTTTCTCTGAATGAGAACAAAAACACAAAAGAAATATCCTAAATACAATCTCATTTTCTTCTAACTTTGATGATGGAATGATTCCATTATTCGGCATCTCTGGAAAATCAGCATCCCATGATTGAAAATCCTGTCCTAAATATATATTACAACCAAGACAGCACTCAAAACAATGGTAAATCAGGCATGTCTCCCGCTCTAATGAAAACATTGTACCAAAAGTCCATGCTATCATCAACCTCCGAATTCCCACCGGCATCGTTTGCCACGGGAGACGGAGGGAATTTGAACTGAGCTTCATCGTTTTTAGCAGCCGGGAAGTTTGTTGATTGCAAGTTTATGTTATCGTCTGTGGAGAAGTCGTTAGACCAAAAGGTTTCATCGATCTGAGAAAAATACTCGGACGAGTAGTCCATTTCTTCGTGCTTAGTAACTGTTTTCTCGGATGAATCTGTGACTGATGACATCTCACTAGAGCAATGCTGTGGACTATCAACAATTTGTTCACTAGAGGAATTGGGATTTTGAGGAGCTTTAGAATCACATTTTTGAATGATAGTGTGTCTCTTGGAGTCCTCAGAAGTCTTACTATTTTTGAGCCTTTTCTTCAAGTGTGTGTGCCAGACATTTTTTATTTCATTGTCCGTTCTTCCGGGCAATCTTGCTGCAATAGCAGACCATCTGAAAAACAAAATAAAGAACGAACCTGTGAATATTTGCTTGGCTCGAGCAATTTTTCGGATAAATTAAGAAACATGAAATCTAGTGCTTAAGATTAATTATTTAGACAAGAAATCCTAAGGAGATACAGATCATGCCGTTCATAGATGTCCGTACAGTCATTTAATGATTTTGTAGACTTGATTAATGTTGGAATTATTATATTAAAGAGAATCTTTTCACCCAATCTTTGATTATTCCAATGTGTACATACAAATCTTACAAGATATCAATTTATTTTATTTTTATTTTGTTTATTTTAACTATTTTGAAAGTATCATACCCCTGATTCGAAAACACTTATTCGGGTTTTTAATTATCGGCATCTCATTGGTTAACTCATACCTCTATTGGATTACATTCCCGACTCCGTCCCTTGAATAGAGACAGAGATTAGGTTTTTAATTAAATATGTTCGTTAGACTAGACTCGACTCAATAATGGATAAACATTACTTTCATATTGAGGAATATCGATTCTAATTTAATGTGAAATGCAAGTTGATTGATAGATACATCACACACACCTATTGCCAATCGTTTCATGTAGCTTGATGATAGTTTCTTCTTCTTCTTTACTGAAATTTCCCCTCTTTATGTCCGGCCTCAAATAATTTGTCCAACGTAGTCTGCAACTTTTTCCACACCGCAGTAGACCTACAAAATTATCAGTAACAATAATTTTAGAAGAATAAATTTAAGCCCAGATGGATTTTTTAATGAATTTTGCTTTCTTGTATAGATACATTCTTCCCAGTAATGAAAAAAACACACGAGAATAAAGAATATTGCTACTTTGCCACAAGAATCTAGTCAGATGCAGTGATAGAAGACGGACGTCGTGGCGGGGAGATGATTGAGTGAGAAAGTTGATTGTGTTTAAAACAGTTCGACGATGAAATGTCATGTGACGTTATGTAAACCATTATGTTAAAACTTTCTGTTCACGTGGCATAATTGAAAAATGTTTGGTAAGCGGTACAGAAAATAAGTAGAAGTATAATTACCAGCTTGTTTGGGGAGTGCCCTCCAATTTCCATGGCCATGCTCTTGAATGTAAGAGATCAAAATCAGATCTTCTTGAGGACTCCAAGGCCCTTTCTTCAGCCCCATCTTTTCACAGCAAGGAGCTCTAACCATTTTTTTGCTTATTTTCGCTTTCGCTTTTGTTTAAAATGGGATTATAAGTTTTTTCTCTCTTCTCTCTCTCTAAATCTGGAATCCTAAAGCTCAAGAGGACAGCATATGCCAAGGGGGGGTATTTATGGTTGAGCTCATTCACACAGTCCACAGGCAGCATCTAATTTCAAAAAGTCACGTAGCAATTTCCACGAAATTGGATCTCTCCCTCCTTCCTCTCTCTCTCCTCGTGTTATTTAATTAATTATAATCTACTTTTAAGTGAGCATAACACTAACTGCAAATGAGACTAGGTGGTAAGAACTTGTGATTCAATGACTTGAAAATTTCACATGAGAAGCTGGGTCCAAGCACAAAGAAAGTTTCTTGTATGTTTTTCTAAGCTCAAATAACCGACTAATACAAATAACTTTATTTAAAATAATTCTTTAATCGACTGATGACTGCCTGTTTGACAATCATTAATTTATTTTATAATTTCTTATAGAAACGTTTTCAACCACATATTCCACAATAAAATATTCTACACATATACAAAAAACTTTTCTTCCTTTTTAACCACACATTCTCCTAAAAATACTATTTAAAATTCATTTTTTACATTATAACGGTTGTCAAACAGGCTTTTATAAATTAGTAATCTTGACTTGATAGCAATAATTACCTTTTTATAAAAACAATTAACGAGCAACTAGTGTTGCGTTTTGGATAATTCATAAAAAGTTTGCAAATAGATTGGCCTCCAAACATTTTTGGATAAATCTATTTGTACAGTTATGGATGACAATATGTGTGTTGGAAAAAATTAGTGGCTGCAAAAATAAGTTGATGTGAAAATTGTCTAATGTGCGAATGCCTTACGGAATGTTGTCAATCAAATTGTAACCCCTGATTGTACACCAAGCTTGATTGATCATTTTATACACAGTTTTTGCATGTTTTGGTTGGTTAATTTAGCATATGTTTGGTGGCCATTCTTTTCAAGAAAAAGCGTTTTTGAATAGTGTTTTTTGGAAGAATGGGTGGTTAAAAAGTGAAAAAAAAAATTTGAATTTACGTGTAGAATATTTTATTGTGTGATGTATGATTAAAAATGAATATGTAAAAAAACAATTTTAAAAGTACGAGAATCAAACTGGTTATACATGAAAGAAGTCTATCTACTCCACGGTACAATTGGTCAAAAAAAGACAATTTCATGCAATCGTCGCTAAGCCACTGTTTGGGCTACATTTTTTCAAAAATACATTTTCTCGAAAACATTTTTCTAACAACACATTTTTTCGAAAATTATTTCAATCACACATTTTCTCATAAAATAACGTTTCTCGTAAATAGGGTCAAATACTGAAAAAAAGTACAACCCTATAATGCTTATATATATGAAAGAAGTCTATCTACTCCACTGTACAATTGGTCAAAAAAAGACAATTTCATAAAGTCGTTGCTCAGCCATTTTTTGGGGTACATTTTTTCTAAAAATGCATTTTCTCGAAAATTTATTTTCAATCACACATTTTCTAATAAAATAATGTTTCTCGTAAACTCGAAACTTTTTTTTTTCAATTACACATTTTTCAAAAGAAAAAAAAAAAACCTATTTCAAAACATATTTTTTCCCAAAATTTCATTATAATGGAACCCAAACAAAGGTTAAATCGTACATAACAATGTGTCCATCACTATTACCTAAAATATGAAAAATGACCTTAAAAGTCATTAATTAAAAGATGTTATTATGTACATAAACGACAGTGCAAGTTGCTGTTATGATATATTCCTCTTCTGAATACTCACATGGGATTTCGACGTGCCTTCTCAGTTGGTCTCGTCAATTTTTATACAACACAACTTGCCTCGATAGTCTTCTTTGATTAGTAGTTGCTGGCCAATATATTTAGACAACCCAAGTCATCTTAACAGCTTTTGTAGTTAGTAGACATCGTTTTCAATCTTTTCATTATTGGGTCGACCCTATTCGTTCAATCACAAAAATCAGGGACGGATCTAGGGACGAGCCAACCTCTGCTACGGCCTGTCCCTCCAGTCCGTGTCCAATTTTTTTTAGGATTCGCCCCTGACAAAAATAAAAAACTAGTCGAGTTACAATCTAAAACGAGTTGTTAAAACATTGAGATGATATCTATGAATCAACCAGTTCAACTTGGAAGCAATCGATCCATTTTGTTCTTTTAAATTGTCTCAAGAAACCTTTCAATTTTGACACGTATCATTCTATTCTGTCATTAAATATCCTCGAACATATCTAGGGCCTATTTCAGCCCTATTTTTAGGTAGAATACATTTTGAAATAGTAGGTTGATGGAGAATGTGTAGTTAAAAATGAATCTTAATGTTCGGTTTAATTTTAACCTCTAGCTTCATTCTGGTTGAACTTTTGAATTTTGACATTTTCTCTTAGAGTCAAGATTTGAATCAGGTTATTCGGTTTTAAAAAACAAAACAAAAAACCTATTTTTCAACATATATAATGATATTAAGTTTTGTTTGGGCACGCTTAAGTTGAAAAATAGAATTCATTTAATCCAATTGTTGTGAGCATACATCGATTTTTGGATTTATTACGAACTTATTTATTTATTTGTTTATAGAAAATGCCAAACATGCTTGCACGTGTGGTGATATAGTCAATGGCAGTCAACTCACGAACGTTGATTTTGTATAGTCAAGCACCAAATAGTTGTTCCACTTCAATTTTGTGTGACTATGCCCAATGAATTCATTCATACTTTTCAAAGAAGGAAGGCTTTATATTTACCATTAATATTATTTTAAAAAATAATTAATTGAACATGTTGAGATGATTTGTGGAATAGTCCTAAAATCGTATAAGCTAGCTACGACTTATTTTTATTAAATAAAATAGTAATGAATTATTTCTATACATAGTAATGAATCGATTAAATTGATAAAAATATTTTACGCAGTCGGGTTTGAATTTATGATGAATAGAACTTAATTTATTGTGTGATTGCTTGTCATATTAAAGATATAAGCATCAATATACATTATCATGCGCGCAATGTGTAGATAATTTTATTTCGAGCGGTCATCATTAGCTTCATTTTTAATTGACCATTCAAATCAAAATGGCCAAATGCAATCTGTTTAGATTTTTTGGGCACAAGTACAATAATTTTTTAGAAAAAAGGAAAATTGAAAAGCATAAAGAAATGAAAAAGGTGAAAAATTGCTTAATTTATGTGATCACTTTGTAACCTTTTTTGAGGGGGTATCCGAAGAAAGCAATGAGAAAGAAAACTCACTCTTGTTGACTTCTTTTTCTTAAAATCAACTATACATTGCAACATTTAAGGTCCGTTTGATTGCAAGAATAAAATTTATATGAAAATAAAATGAATTTCAGATAATTAAATTGCCTAAAAATTGTTTTAGTGGGAATTGTCAATTAGTTGTGTTTTATTTGTATAATTTTTCACCTGAAAAATATTGAAATTTTGAATCTTTCGGTGCTCGTTTGACTTTGTTTTTCATGTAAATTGTCAATTAAAGGGATATAATTTGTTACAATTGTGGATAGAATTTGTTTAAAAAAAACTGTCTAGAAAAGTTTTCCCCACCAAACGCATGAGAAAAGTTTTTTCCTCAAAACCCAAGAAATTTGGAAAATCAAGAAAATGTGGAAACCCAATTCCATGAAAAATTTATTCAATCAAATATGTAAAAAAGTGGAAATGAATTTTAATTTTCATCTTTCATGAAAAAGAAAGAGCAATCAAACAGTGCCTTAATCTTGAGAAAGGAGACCTACTCCAAAATCTCCCTACCACAAATAAAATATCAAAGAAATAACTGAAAATGGCATAATTATATTTAATCTAAGACAAAATAGTTCAATATTTTTTTTAGAGCGCATAAATGTCTAAACTCATTTTTCACGGTTACTTATCTGTAAATATTTAATGTATTACATGTTGTTTAAGAGCGAGTCCAATTTTGACCCTAAAAAATTGAAGAGTTAAGGGTTAAAAGGTTTAACTTGTGGTAAAATATTAATATAAATAAATAAGAAAGAAATCTTCTTTTTGAAAAAAAAAAAAACTAGTAAAAGACTCATTTAATGGGTTTTCACTTTCTAGTTTTCATGTAGAACTATGTTAAAATATCAATTTTCTCAATTGAATTGACCCTTCAATCTCTACTCGTAGATTCGTGTCAAATCTTGGCGAACTTTTGCGTACTTAGTGTAGTTGGATGGTCGTTTCCACTTTGCTTTCCTTACACCGAATGATTTATACAAAGAAATTGCTACAATCTAAGTAATATATTTTAAGTAGGATCACATTAACTTGAATATAATTTCGTCATTTTTAATTCTCCATAATTTTTTTTTTTTTTACCAATTCAACCTCAATTTTTGCTAAAAAAAAAGCTAAAAGTAAAACAAAGAGTTTAGAAATCCATTGTTCATTTCGGTTTCTTATTATTTCCGTCTAATTGAACATGTCGTGACTTATTTCGCAAAATAAACGTAGTGAATTGGACAATATTAAAGTCGCAAAAGAGTTAAATTCTTATTCACGAGCAAAAGCTTCAATTTGAGATAGCAACCAAAAATTAAAATGCTTCTAGTTTTAGTTCTACTACACACATTTCTAGTGTGGTCAATTGAAATTAATTCAAGAACGTCTTTCAAACATTTTTTTTTAAAATTAAACGAACCATAACAAATAATAATTTTTTGAAAACTGGCAATTATGGTTGGCTTGATTTCTTCGAACCTAAGTCAAACAATTGGATTGTTTTCTAAAATTGAGTGCCCACAAAAGATAGTACATCTTAGGATTAGATTTGTTTGTGTCAAGTCAATGTTTTGGGCTCCTTCAACAAATTGTACCCTAATGCGTACAAGTTTCAAACTTCTTTGTGAGCTTTGGATGTATTTTATTATTTATGCCCCCACCTCAATAAAGTAACAATTACGTTATTTGCACAATCACACTTGACAATAATGATCG